GGGGGGGGGCGACCGGAGGGGGAGGGAATAGGTTTGAGATGTAGGAAGGCAAAATCATCAAGACTTGGTGTTTAGAACAGCCGTGGGCAAACTACGACCCACGGGCCGGATCCGGCCCGTTTGAAATGAATAAAACTATTGAAAAAAAAAGACCGTACCCTTTTATGTAATGATGTTTACTTTGAATTTATATTAGTTCACACAAACACTCCATCCAGGCTTTTGTTCCGGCCCTCCGGTCCCGTTTAAGAACCTATTGTGGCCCTCGAGTCAAAAAGTTTGCACACCCCTGTTAGAAGCACCCTGCTCTGTGTGGATTGGTTTGGCTTGATTGGTTGGCGCATCATCCTGTACACTGAAAGGTTGCAGGTTCGATTCCTGGTCAGGGAGCATACCTAGGTTGCAAGTTCTATCCTGGTCTGAGGGGGTGCATATAGGAGGCAACTGATCGATGTTTCTCTTGCTCTCCTTTCCTCTCTCTCTCTAAAATTAATAAAAACATATCCCTGGGTGAGGATTTAAAAAACAACAACACTTACTGTTTGGGGAAAAGTGAGAAATTGGAACTGACCTTGGTTCCCGAAATATCAACAATAAAAATAAAGGTATTTTATGTGATACGGACAGTATTAATATGCTCAAAGTCACTAATCATCCAAGAGATGCAAATAAAATGACAATGAAGTACCATCTCACACCTGTCAGAATGGCCATCATCAACAAATCAACAAATGACAAGTGCTGCAGAGGATGAAGAGAAAAAGGAACCCTTGTGCACTGCTGGTGGGAACGCAGACTGGTGCAGCCACTGTGGAGAACAGTATGGAGTTTCCTCAAAAAACTAAAAATGAAACTCCCATTTGACCCTGTGATCCCACTTCTAGGGATATATCCCAAGAAACCAGAAACACCAATCAGAAAGAATATATGTACCCCTATGTTATAGCAGCACAATTTACAATAGCTAAGACTTGGAAACAGCCTAAGTGCCCATCAGCAGATGCGTGGATTAAAAAACAGCGGTACATCTACCCAATGGAATACTATGCTGCTGTAAAAAGGAAGGAACTCTCATTATTTGCAACAGCATGGATGGATCTGGAGAGCATTATGCTAAGCGAAATAAGTCAGAGAAAGAGAAATATCACATGATCTCACTCATTTGTGGACTATAATGAACAACATAAACTGATTAACAAAAACAGATTCAGCCTAACTGGTTTGGCTCAGTGGATAGAGTGTCAGCCTGCAGATTGAAAGGTCCCGGATTCGATTCCAGTCAAGGGCGTGTACCTTGGCTGCGGGCACATCCCCAGTGGTGGGTGTGCAGGAGGCAGCTGATTGATGTTTCTCTCTCATCAATGTTTTTAACTCTCTAACCCTCTTTCTTCCTCTCTGTATTAACCCTTTGCAGTCGTTTGTCTACTCTCAGCCACCAAAGCTTTTTTACCGTTCCGGTCTTATGTCTGCTCTCAGCCATCACAGCAAGGAACCGTACGAATCTTAACTCTATTCATTCATGTATCAGTTCATAATTTCTCTGAAAGCTCTTAAGTGTCTAAGCGACCTTGTCACGAACCAAAACATTGCCCCGACAAATCGGAAATATCGAAACTCAATATAAACAAACGCGGTCGTTCCACACACGCCATGCAAAACACTGTGGCGAGTCAGTCGCCTTTTGAGAGTGAAGAAATCGACAAGCTTCGGAAATACTTCGCAGAATTTCAAATAAAGCTTTACAAATTACGTTTAACTGTAATTAGGCATTCTCGCTTGTTAAGATATTTCAAAATAATACTCCAAAATGGCAAAAAGAAAGTTACCGAAAGAAGTGTACTGCGAATCTGAAAGCAACGATGAAGAGTTTTATTTTGGCACCTTGAATACTGACTCTGATGTAGAAAGTGATAACGTTTGTAGTGATTCCACTAGTAGTGATGTAGTTCCAAAAAAGAATGAATAAATCTTGTTTATCCTTTATAATCTTGCATGTTATGTATCACTGCTCTTTCAATGGAAATTAATTCCAACCAGTACGACACCCATGTCCAAATTTAATACGACTGCAAAGAGTTAAATCAATAAAAAGAAATATTTTTTAAAAACACAAAAAACAAAACAGATCCAGAGACAGAGAAGCATTGATCAGACTGTCAAATCTTAGAGGGAAGGCGAGGGAGGGTGGGGGTAAGAAGAGATCAATCAAAGGACTTATATGCATGCATGTAAGTATAACCAATGGACACAGACCCTAAGGGGGTGAGGGCACGAATGGTGGGGCAGGGGGGCAATGGGAGGATAAGGACATACATGTAATACCTTAATCAATAAAGAAAAATAAATAAATATTTTTAAATACATTAATGTTTTGTAGTTTTGAAATTGTAAGATAACCAGTACATCCCTTTATTACAGATGAGGATTTTGAAATTCATTGCTTAAAGACTTGACTAGAATCATAGTCCCCTTGTTTAAGTGGTGGCGCTAATAATTGATCCCAGATTTTTTTCTTCCTAATGTATTATCTTTGGCATCTACTTCATTCCCTAGGCCAATGCCTCAGTTTTTGGTTCTTTATTACTTTGCATTACCAGTCAGTCACTAAGTTTTATTATTTGTTTGCTAAGCATTTCTCAGATCTGCCCACTTCTCTCTTAGTTCAGGTGACTCTCATCTTTCTGGATTGATATTTTCCTGAATTTTTTGAGATCTTTTTAAATCACAGAGTACTCTCTTGCCTAAATTTTTAAAATAAAATGTGTTCTTGTTAGCCTAGCCTTAAAAGGCTTTTTCTCTGTTCATGCCTCTAGTTCATGATCACTTTGTTTTTCAGCTTTTTGTATCTGCAGTTAATTCTGTAAGCAGTGTCCTTCCCCCCTTTTTTCCACTCCACCCTCAATCCCATACTTCAGTTCTTAGCTTAATATAATTGTCTGTTTACTTGTCCATAACCACCTCTCCTGGCTTCTTTTACTTCCAACTCATTTAAGTAGGCTCATTAAGGGCAGAGGTTATTTCTTGCTAAATAATACTGAAATTTGTTGAATGGCTGAATGTGTTTATACTTGTAGGTCCTAACAAGTTGGAAGTAGCTTTTTTTAAAATACATTTTTTATTTTATTTTTTAATGTACTTTATTGAATTTTTAAAAATATATATTTTATTGATTTTTTACAGAGAGGAAGGAAGAGGGATAGAGAGTTAGAAACATCGATGAGAGAGAAACATCGATCAGCTGCCTCCTGTACACTCCCCACTGGGGATGTGCCCGCAACCAAGGTACATGCCCTTGACCGGAATTGAACCTGGGACCCTTCAGTCCACAGACCGATGCTCTATCCACTGAGCCAAACCGGTTAGGGCTGGAAGTAGCTTTAATGGAGAATAGAGTCTGAAAGAATGACTGAAAAGAATTAGTCCATCATTTCCCATACTGTACTTCAGAGCATTGTATCCTACGGGATAATGTGTGTTTCCCAAAAAAAGGCTCCATAATCAAATATAGTGTTTTAGGAAGTGCTGTAAATTATGTCCCTATCTTGGATATTCACTGTGCACATAGGAACAATCAATAAAGGCTTCAGGAAGTTCTGCGGTATAAAAAAAATTAATCTAGCATTTTCCTAACATTTTGATTATGAAACCCCTGATTTCTCTTAGGTTACTAATGGTTTTTGGTATTTGGGAAATGCTAAACTTGACTGGCTGTGTGTGTTCTTCATTTTCCTCAGATCTAATTAATATAATTAAACAATATCATTAGATCATGGCCAAGGGATATTTGGAGGGACTCCAGTTGTTACAATTAGAAGAGAGAATCTGGAGAAAGATATAACAGTCTTCAAATATTTAAAGGCTCCAATCGAAGGGGAATTGAAAGTATAAGAGAAAAAGAGCAAGAACCAGGGAGGAAGGCAGATTTTGATTTTGTGTAAGGGTAACTTTCTAATAATTAGAACCTTGGAGGTAAGTAAATTTTCCCTTCCTGAAGGTTATCAAGCGTTCATCTGTAAGGATGCTATAGAGGAGTTTAGCACAATAGATAAGGGATAGATTGGAAGAGTAGTTTTCTGAAACAGTTTGAAAACTATTAGACTACTGAGATATTTGTCACCTTGGAATATATGTTCCTTGATTTCTTTCTAATTCTATGAGTCTATGTTGGTCTGCAGTCTCAGAAAAGAAACCAAATATGTGTTATGAAAGACAATAGAAATTTTAGTTGTATAGTTAAGTACTTTTACTTGATGGGGTATTTTTTATAGACTTTATTTTTTAGAGCAGTTTTATATGCACAGAAAAATTGAACATAAAGTACAGAGAGTTCCCATATGTTTTCTTCCCCCACTGTCCACATCCTGCACCACAGTGGTACATGTGTTATAGTCAATGAACCTACACTGACAACATCATGATCACCCACAAGTCCACAGTTGACATTTGAGTTTATAATTACTTGATGATATTTTGGAAGAAAATGTGAATATACCTACTCATCTTTCAGGAAGTAATTTTCAGTTGTTTTCTTGCCCTAGTTTACTCTTTTCTGACTCAGAGATCTAAGCGATAGTTAAAATCCACATCTTTTTTGAAAAATTATTCAGTGTTGGGGAATGTTCTTTTTCTATAAATTAAATGTTTACAATTTTTTAAAAAAATTTTGTTTGCTAAGAGTATTTTTTCTTTATTTTAAGTACCAAAAGAACTGGTGGAGCTTCATTTGAAGTTGATGAGGAAGATTGGCAAATCCGTTACAGCAGACAGATGGGAAAAATATTTGATCAAGGTAAATATTTGAAAATTGCCTTCTCTATTAAAATATTACTGTACCTAACATGAGTTTGTTATGTTTCATATTAAGCTTAACTTTTTAAAAAGTCTACTGAAAGTTGCAAAATATTACTTAGAAATTCAGATTACTATCAGTATGTGATTCTCTTTTGCAGCTACTAAGCAATAGTCTTGAGTCCTAAAGCTAGCTTTCAGAGATATTGTATCTCTTTTTTACCTAATACCATGCTTAGGACTTTTCATGTCTTCTCATTTAATCCTTAAAATCATCCTGATCAAATCAGGTAAGATACACATAAGGCCCAAGAAAGTCATCAAAGTTACCAACAAGGCCAAACCTATCCTTAATGAGAACAACCTAGGTAATCATAAAATGGTTGTTTTAGGATGAACCCTAAAAGGCAAGACCAATTCCAGGGAAAATTACCTGGAATTGCATCTAAACTCAAAGAACCACACCATTTTTGGAAGCCTAAGCTGATGTATGTACCTACCTTCATGATGGTCCCGGGGGTATTTTGAATCTATGACATAGCAGAATATTAGGTTGTATTTTTATTATTTATTTATTTATAAAATATATTTTTATTGATTTCAGAGAGGAAGGGAGAGGGAGAAAGAGATAGAAACATCAATGATGAGAGAGAATCATTGATCAGCTGCCTCCTGCACTTCCCTCACTGGGGATCAAGCCTGCAACTCGGGCTTATGCTCTAACCAGGAATCAAACTGCCACCTTCTGGTTCATAGGTCGACACTCAACCACTGAGCAACACCAGCCAAGCTAGATTATAAGATGATTGGAAAACCATGTCATTTTCTTGTCTTCTTTAATATATAAATGTATGTTTACATAGATACATGTATTTTTATAACTGTTCTTTTTTTGGTGGGGGAATGTATATGATTATACAGTGCTATGAAAAGAGGAAACAAGAGTTGCTTGTTTTTATTATAAAAATCACATGTGCTGTTCCAATTATCTTTGCTGTGTAACACACCACTCCAAATTAAGTGGCATAAAACAATAATCATTTTAGTCAGCTCACTCTTTCTTTGGGTCAGGAATTTGGAAAGTTCACTTGCACCATACTCTGTTGGTTCAAGTAGCCACAGTTCTCCCTAGTTCTGTGAGAGGAAATAGAGACCCCAAACTCTCAATGGTAGTAGTGGCTTAACTTTTGAAAAACCCAATATGAAATATATTTCAATAATTTTGCACAAGTTTGAAACATTGCAAAGTTGGCTCAGCATTTCAAAAATTCAGTGCTATGGGATTTTCTAAAAGCCCTAATTAATGTTTAATTAAAAATCTGAACTATGTTGCCATGGTCAGGTGGCTTAGTTGGTTGGAGTGTTGTCCCATAAACCAGAAAGGTTGCAGGCTTGATCCTGAGTCTGGGCGTTTAAGGAAGGCAATGGATCAATGTTTCTCTCTCTCTCTTTCTCTCTCTCTCTCTCTCTCTCTCTCTCTCTCCCCACCCCCCCTCTCTCTAAAATCAATAAAAACATAATGGCACACATAAAGTAATTGGTAAAATTCTGTGGCACACCAAAAAACATGTGTGTGTGTGTGTGTGTGTGTGTGTGTGTGTGTATACATATATATTGCCTGGCCAGAGTGTCTCAGTGGTTGAGCGTTGACCCATGAACCAACAGGTCCCAGTTCGATTCCTGGTCAGGGCACATGCCTAGGTTGCAGGCTCTATCTCCAATAGGGGGCGTGCAAGAGGCAGCCAATTGACATCTCTCATAGATGTTTCTCTCTATCCCTCTCATTTCCTCTTTCTCTAAAATCAATAAAAATAGCCCCTTGGGTGAGGATAAAAAAAAA